GTCTTTTTGGTATGGTCAAAGAGTCTTGATTTGCTAACACCATGTTTAGCTGCACTCTTTCTGATGCTCAAGTAATTTGTTTGGACATCTTTTACAGCTTCCCTTAACTTTTCAGGTGATAATATACTCTTGGCTTTTCTCTAATAGTTATAATAATAAAACTTTGAACTTGGTAAAAGTGTTAAACTCCTTTTTGTTTACTCTAGTAACTACTACTCTTTAGTTTAGCGCTTTCATATACATTATATACGCAGAATTAATCGACAAGGGAATTATGGTGTGGCATATGATTATGCAAATAGAAATTTACGAAACTTTAACAAAACTGTAATCTAAAAACTGTAATCTTATATACATTAAAACTGTAATCTCATATACATTATATACACAGAATTAATCGACAAGGGAATTATGGTGTGACATATGATTATGCAAATAGAAATTTACAAAACTTTAACAAAACTGTATTCTAAAAAATGTAATCTTATATACATTAAAACTGTAATCTTATATACATTATATACGCAGAATTAATCGACAAGGGAATTATGGTGTGGCATATGATTATGCAAATAGAAATTTACAAAACTTTAACAAACTGTAATCTAAAAACTGTAATCTTATATACATTAAAACTGTAATCTTATATACATTATATACGCAGAATTAATCGACAAGGGAATTATGGTGTGGCATATGATTATGCAAATAGAAATTTACAAAACTTTAACAAAACTGTAATCTAAAAACTGTAATCTTATATACATTAAAACTGTAATCTCATATACATTATATACGCAGAGTTAATCGACAAGGGAATTATGGTGTGGCATATGATTATGCAAATAGAAATTTACAAAACTTTAACAAAACTGTAATCTAAAAACTGTAATCTTATATACATTAAAACTGTAATCTCATATACATTATATACGCAGAATTAATGGACAAGAGAATTATGGTGTGGCATATGATTATGCAAATAGAAATTTACAAAACTTTAACAAAACTATAATCTAAAATATAGATTACAAATACTTACCTCGCTTACCCAAAAACTACTTAGAGTTTATAACTAGGATCTGAATGATTCGAATTAAAAATTTTACATCAAAAAACCAAAAAATAGTTTTTTCACTCTAAAATCTATTTTTCATCAGAAAACTGTGACCTGACTATTTTAAAGCAAAGAGCATAAATCTACCAACATATAGACCATATACAATATTGTCCTAATGTTAACAGTGTAGGATATTTGAAAGTGTCCATTCTCTCATCGTGTCTGAAGCCATCCTGGTCTCCCCTACTTGTTGTTTTTAGATGGCATTGCAAAGATTTAATTGCAAATGTGCAAAATTAAGGTTATAAGTAAGTCTCGGGGAAAATCCCAATGTATTTCTTGTGTGTTTTCAATGTTTTTTTTTCTAAATAATATGGCTATATTTATTAGTTTTTCTCCAGAGAGAGTTTGGAGTTGTGCAATTGCAAAGTTAATCCAAAAATATAGATTTTTAATTTAAAGTTCTACTCAAATGATAACTTAACATTTATTATAAATTATTTGTTTATTTGTAATTAAAAATTATTAATTTTTTAATAATTTTTATAATTATGATTAAACTTTAATATATTATTTGACAAAGTCTGAGGATGGGATTTCTTGTTACCTTAAATTGGGAATTTCAATATTATTTTAGTATTATATATATAGCATTTGAGAATACTGTGTATAATGAGACCCTAAAAGGCTGGCTAACACCCTGATGATAACACACTCCCCTAAAGAGGTTTATGGAAGCAACTTATGGCTCTTGCAAGAAAATATTTTTTTCATAAATATAAACCACTTTTTTTCTTCTCTATTTTTAGATTTTGATAAAAAAAGTTAAAAATCTTGTGGAAACTACATAGATAAACAAAAAATAAAGTTCCATTTTCAGATTGATTTTTTTTTAATTACAAAAATGGATTGTTTATTTTTAGTAAATTTCTAATAAACAAATGGATATCTAGTGTGAAAACATAAAAAAAAACCTTGTCAAAGGAATTTTTTATGGCATGATAAACAACGCTTATTATGTATCGTCCAAAAGTTTGTTGTTAGGTAAAACACTGGTGTCCAAAAGTTTGTGGACAGGCAAAAAAAAAAAAAAAAAATGGAACTTTACTAATATTTCAGTTCATACTTTACTAAAGCCAACATATTATATACCAATCAAACGTTTTCAAGTTTACAAATATGTTTTGAACAAAAATGATTATCTAAGTAACATTTTAGAATTGGTATACAAATAAATGATTTTTGATAAGTTCATAAATTTGCTGACAAAGTTTTTTTTTTAATATTGTACAAATTGTTCATCAATATTTGACCACAAATTTATATAAAAGCAAAACCACATTAGCATTTTTGTAGGATAACCATTACAATCAAGAATGGCTCAGCATCTATGAGGCATAGAGTCAACTAAATTAATGTAAACACTAAAGGGAATTGAGTCCTATATTTCCTTGATTTAATTAAGTAAAACAGCATGGATTGTAAGCTTGATTTCTTTCATTTGACAGTCAACATGTTCCTATAGATGTACAATGGAATTTAAGTCAAGTGATTGGGATGTCCGCTTTAAAACATTAACAGGGATTATCTTTGCTTAGTATTTATCCTGATAATGCATTATTTTGCGTGGTCATTTTGATTGATATTTATTCTTTGTAGATCTAGTAAGTTTATATCTCTTCATAGTTTTTCCAACAGCAGACTTACCAACTCCATAAAGCTGTTTTGTTTTATGAAACAAATTTGCATTTTGAATTAATCTTTAGAGCAATTTTTTCACTGGAGATGAGATTTCAATCACTTATAAATAAAATTTTTAAATTATTTCCACAAAATATTTGTTTAAAAAATCAACAAATTAGCAATTTTGAAGGGAAAATGTTAAAAGGTTTAGTTAGTCCGCTTTTGAACTTATCAAAAATTATGTTTTTTGTAAAACAATTTTAAAATATTAATTAAATAATCATTATTTGTTCTTAAACTTAACTGTTAACCTGAAAACTTTTTAATTGGTATATAATATGATGGCTTTAGTGGTATATGCGCTGAAATATTACTAAAATTTAACTTTTTATTTGCCTGTGTTCAAACTTTTGGACGCTAATATATACTGTTAACATTAAATTTAAAAAAAAATTAAAAGCTCTTGTAAAAAGCTGTTCAGAGGAGCAGCCCGCATGGCTCTCCATGTTCGTTTTATGAGAGCTTTTCTCCACTCCCGTACTCATTTACTCCCACCCAGGCCTATATATATATATATATATATATATATATATATATATATATATATATATATATATATATATATATATATATATATATATATATATATATATATATATATATATATATATATATATATATATATATATATATATATATATATATATATATATATATATATATATATACAGGCTTGGTCGGGAAGCGGGAGCGATTGCTCTCGATTGCTGACCACGTAAATAATATTTAGTTGCGAAAAGCTGGCCAGATTTTTTAGCCGTTTTGAGAACATTTTAAAAAGCAAAAAAAAAAAACAACCAAGATTAATTGGACCGATGAGAGACAATTACAAAAAAAAAAAAAAAAAATCGCTCTTTTACAATTTTTTTTATAAAATTAAGCGATGTTTTTTATATAAATTAACAATTTACGATTGTTTAAAAGGGAAACAAAAATTCTTTATTTAACTAAGTTTGCAAGTTTTAGTTTTACTTAAGCTAAATTATTTTATAAATAAAAAAATTAATTTTTTTAATACCTATTTTATGTTTCGCGTAGTTTGAAAAGTTTAACATATTTGAAGCGATTCTTCTTAGTAAGATAAACAAAAATAAAATTACTTTAAAATACTTAAAAATACTTAACGAACAGGAAGCGAAACTGCTTCACAATATCGCTGATGATGTTTAGTGAGTGGGTTTTTTAATTTTAATTAGTATTTAAAGCAGAAAAAAGTGTAACAAGTTTTAAGAATGGCAACTTAAGCGAAAATAATTAGAGTTAGTAAACCAATTTCTAGAAACTTTTCCTTATATCTAATTATTTGTTATATATATTTGTGTTCTGCCGTGACCTCAGGCGCGATGCTTGTTCATCCGCGAGTTACTTTGTATGCGTTGTTTGTGTTTAGTAACCAGAAACTTCTTATATGTTTGTTACATAATTAGTTTTATTAACTTTAACGATTATAACTTCATTGAAAACCAACTATTTTTGTAAGTCTTTGTTTAAATCATGAAAATTGCTTTAAAAAAAACATTACGATAAAAAACAAATACACAAAATTACATTTACATAAAGAATACAATCTCTTTTAAAATAAAAAATAAGAATATACTAATAAAATCTATGATTTATAATAAACTTTTAAAATTTTAACAATTTAATTAATATATATATAAAACATTTATTTTCGTAAACAAATAATATATTCTTAAAACAATGCCAGAAATCTGAAAACGTAAGAAATTGTGAATAATAGTATTTCTAAAACATTTTCTAGAAATTTATTTCGCTTAATCAGCGTATTTTTTGAACCAATAGAATTAGTTTTTCGTTAATTTGGCGGGTTTTTAGCATTCTTTTTATTCTTTCGCACAAAGATGTGTTGAGAACATTCAAGTTTTTTATGTTTCCATGTATGTCCGTAAAACAAAAATTTTTTGTTTCGTACATAAACCTAAATGTTTTCAAAACGACTAAAAAACCTGGCCAGTTTTACGCAACTATATATAATTTCCGTGGTCAGTATTCGAGAGCGATTGCTCCCGCTTCCCGACCAAGCCTGTATATATATATATATATGTAATAATATACAAAATTAAATTAAATTTTCATTATATATATTTTATTAATTTTTACAAATTAGTAATTAACTTTTATTATACAACATAATATTACGTTATGTTATAAAACTAAACCTTATTTAATTTATTACCGGTGCTCCTGCAAACCCAATGAGAGGACACTTTCCATCTAGAGTCTTTCTGGTCAATGTTATGGCATCCAAAACATATTTTAGCTCTATCTTTACATCAACATCAACATTTAGAAGCTAAATTTAAAAAAAAAAAATTAAACAATATCAAACTTTTTAATTAAAATTTTTTTGAACATTTCATTTTTTATAATGTATTTTTGACTTTGATCTTACAATCTTATGCATGTTATAAGATTGTATCTCTGAAAAAGATAATTGAGTCTAACTAATCTCTGAAAAAGTTAATTGAGTCAAATAACTAAGTGTCTGCAAAAAACTTTGATTTATATACAGGATACTTTATTCATATATTATTAATGTTATTGATTTTTGACAAACCATAACTTTTAAATAAAGATGGTGATCACCTGAAATTTTGTAGGGTAATAGTTTTTCATCCAAATAATCCATTATTGCAGTTTTTTTTGACTAATTTTTTTTATTAAAGTTATTGTACCTTAAAGTTGCTAAATATTGCAACATTATAAATATTTTTTCGAACTTTAACGTGTTACAGTTTCATACTTTTTTTTTTTTATTTTATTTTACTTCACCTCCTCAAGGCCGAGAAGTCCACTACAGACGAGGAGGCTACTTATTTTGTGGCTATAACCCTCTCTCAACTCCGAAACACGAACTAACTAACTAACTAACTAACTAACTAACACTAAATAACTCCGAAACACGAACCTTGACGAACAAGGCCGCTGCGCAGAGAAACGAGTTGAGCGCGGTACTACCAGGGACGTGGTGGGGATCGAACTCGGAACCACTCGTTTATGAAGCGAGCGCTCTACCACTACACCACTACCGCACTTACTTACAGAAAGTGAATTTTTCTGTAACCTTTTTGTACTTAGGGTCACCACTTGTTAGAATAATCAAAATTATGCATTAAAAATTAATTTAGCACATGCAGCAGCCTATTAAAAAATCACTTTTTTTTTAAATTATGATAAATTACACTGACTTTGCTGGCATAGAAAGTAGCGTAAACAGTTTAAACAAATTATGAAACTTTTTAATGTTGAGGTTTTATATATAGATTATCACCAAAAACAAATTAAAGACCTATACTGTATCTTATGACATGATAGTAGCTTTTTGAGAGTGGTGATATTTTTAAAAGGAGAACAAAAAATACCACTTACCACATAAAATTTTTACCTTAAATTTTATACAAACTATAATGTAAAAAAGTGCATTCAAAGAGTAAGATAATCAGTTAAAAGAAAAAGTATGTATACATGAAACTAATTAGCTAATCTCTGATTTATATAACTCATAATACTGTCATAGTCATTACTAGCAAGAATATAGTCACGAGCACTTATACTTTTAATCAATGGAACACTTATTTGACATATTATCTTGTCAACTGGAACCCAACACTGACTTGATCGTGCATTGTCCATTTTAAATTTAATTTGTTTCTTTGCATAAACTTCACATTAATGTCATGGTTTTCCTTACAAATATCAACCACAAGCCCTACATACCATTCTTTATAGTAAAAGCATGCAATATATTTACCGGGTTGAAAATTTGAAGGATTTTTTTAAATCAAATTAACGTCATTTAACACATGAGTATCATAGACAGTATCACTAGAGATTCTTCGTAAAAACAATTTCTCTCTATCTGGTACAAAACAGTGATTGCTTCTTGTTCCCGGAACTGTGCGCATCCTATCATATCGTTTCTGAAGGTTAAAAGTTGTTTCATGGTTATTGATATCGTCACTAGAAAGATAAAATATGTTAACACCTTTGATGTTTTTTTGAGCCCATGTAAACAGATCTTGTGGTGTGAGAATCTGATTTGTAATTGCTGCTCGTAGACTAGCTTTTGCTGCTTCTCTTTTTATAGTACCTCCTATTCCATCACATAGTTGACTTTTGCCATGTGACGTAGCAAAGAAGTGATGCTCAGCATTTATTTGGTGATCTACAATGTGATAAATTAAGTTTATTAGACATTTGTAGTTTTTATACTGTGACGCAGCACCATCACTGAAGTATTGTGAGAAAACAATGGACTGCTGATTGGTAATGACAAAGATGGTCAGAAATTAAACAATAGCATTCACACTTAAGGTGATCTTTTTCATCTTTGTAATTAACAACAAATGGGTGTAAGGTAGCTTGATCGGCTTGCCAGTAAAACTCTTGTATAGCATCTTGTACAAGAAAACTTAATTTTCTGCAAAATCCATCAGAATAATGCAGGTATATTGGTCTAATGTTTGTTTTGCCTCTGTTAAGTAGGAAGACTGTGCTTCTTTGATAAAGTAGTGGTGACAAAGGTCATACAAAGTTTCACTTAAAGTTTCAATAAATTTACTAATACTTGTTTGGACTGTAATAAGTGCAGTTTGGTCAGTTGACACCTATTGTTTATATGTGATAATAATAAGTCAAAATCATTCTTTTTAAACATATTTTCCAAGTAAGTTTTCAAATTTATTTTACCAGGCAGTTGGAACATAGATGAAACATGCAGTTTCGACTATCTATACTACAAACACATACTTTCATTAAATCTTTGTAATATATTAAATGGCTGTTAGGAAGAGCAGAGCACATCAACTTAGCATTTTGATGGTAAAAACATACACAAAACTGAGTGGCTTCCACTACTATCAACAGTAAGGCACCACTTTGGCGTTAGTTCAGAGAACTTGCTGAATCTAAATTTGTGTTCAGAATCCAAATTTGTGTTAACTTCTTAAACTCCAGATGAAGTTCTTTTAATCAAACTAATAATAAGCGTTTTTGTTTATGAACTTTAACATTATTTATATATTTTTTTCCTGGACATTGTCTAGTGTATTCGCCAGATTCATATATTTCAATGACTCTCTGCTTAACAATATCCTCCAAAGGATGTCCCTTTTTAGCCTCAGGTTTAGCAAGTATTCCCTTTTCATTTTTTAGCTTTCTTGCTTTCTTAACAAGATGGTCTGAAACTAAAAATGCATTGCAAGTTTTTTCAATTGACCAACTATCAGGTGTTAATGTTAGTAATTGAACTTTTTCTTCATTTAAACTGATTTTTACTTTTTCCTTTATTGCATCTAAAAGTTTGTCTAAATCATTACAGTTAATGCAATTTTGCTTTTTCTCAGATATAATTTCTTTTGGGTCTATATCCAATGCTTATGCTACTAGGTTTGTCATACTTGTTTCCAGTTTTTTAACTTTTTGCTTTCCATATTCTAATTTGTCACATTTACTTACATTTTTTAAAGGAGATATTTCCAGTAGAGAAGCACTCTTATTTAAAACTGTCTTACTTAGGTCTGAAGAACTAAACTCTTCATCATCAACATCTTTGTCTTCATCTTCTTGACTAAATTTTCCTGTAATTTGTTTAAGTTTGAATTCATTCAAACAGTTAGTGCAAAGTTTTTGACCAGGTTTGATCTTAAGCTGCTGTTAAATTATCAACTTTACACAATCCCTTAATTTTTTACTTGTGGACTTTAAACGGATCACAGCAATATTTTTGAAGCGCTTCATATCTAAAAATATAGGCTTTTTCATGGTGAAAAAATATCTCCTCATTTAGTTCAAAAGTGTGTCCAATTCTTTGAATTAAAACTTCAGCATCTGTGCTTGCAATATCTTTTAGTTTTATTCTTCCAATCATTCTACAATAATACGTTTTGTCACAATCTTCATTTAAAACTTTCCCCACACAACATTTCTCTGTCATTTTTTACTATTTTTTTTTTTTATTACTAATCTAAAAAGTTTAAAAAAGACATAAACATATTAAATCTCAAAGAAACTAACATATATCAGACACTGATTATGACACTGATTATGTCATTATTATTAGTACAAATTAAGACATTATGTCATTAAAAAGAAAACTGAATATATTCATTCACAGATAAAAAAAAAATACTACTGTCATCCCTATGACTAATTATTAGACTATGACCTAAGGTTAGCTCAAAATCTAATAAGTCATTTTTGTTACTTTTAAATTTAATAAATTTAAGGTAAAAATTTTATATGTGGTAAGTGGTATTTTTTGTTCTCTTTTTGAAAATATCATCACTCTCAAAAGGCTACAATCATGTCATAAGATAGAGTATAGGTCTTTAAATTTTTTTTGGTGTCTATATATAGAACCTCAACATTAAAAAGTTTCATAACTTGTTTCAACTGTTTACACTACTTTCTATGCCAGAAAAGTCAATGTAATTTATCATAATTTTTAAAAAATGTGATTTTTCAATAGGCTGCTGCATGTGCTAAATTAATTTTTAATGCATAATTTTGATTATTCTAACAAGTGGTGACCCTAAGTACAAAAAGGTAACAGAAAAATCCACTTTCTGTAAGTAAGTATGAAATTGTAACACGTTAAAGTTCGAAAAAATATTTATAATGTTGCAATATTTAGCAACTTTAAGGTACATTAACTCAAAAACTGTAAAAAATCAGTCAAAAACAACTGCAATAATGGATTATTTGGGTGAAAAACTATTATCCTACAAAATTTCAGGTGACTACCATCTTTATTTAAAAAGTTATGGTTTGTCAAAAATTGAAAAAATCTGCTGTAAGCTCCTGATACACAAACTTTTGGGAATTTGGTCATTTTTAATTCAATCATAACTTTTGAACAAATTGGTCAATCAAGCTGAAATTTTCTGAATTGTATTTTTTTCATAAGATCTGTGTGTGGTCAAAGTTTAAAGCAAATCTGAGATGGTACCCTGGAGAACTTTCAAAAAACTAGGTGATTTGATATGGAATAGCCCTAAATCTACATGCATTTACTAAAGTTCTGGCGCTTTTTTGTTAACAAAATAAATTACGCCATTAAGTAATTCTCAATTCGTTGCGTTGGTTTGACAAGGTTTTCACTTTTTATATTTATATATTTAGCTAAAAAAGTGGAAAATGACCACGGCATCAAGATCACTCCTCAAACAATATGTAACAGGATCAAGTAAGTTAATTTCCGAGGACGACATGTTCGTAAATATTTGACAAAGAGTCATATGAAATGCCAATTAAATTTTGCTAAAAAGTACAGAAACATGGATATTATTTTCT